ACACACACACACACACAACAGCTTTGTTACCATAAAACTCACTTTCATCTCTTGAAAAAGGGAGTATGAAAGGAACACTGCATACCTCGTCTCTCATGTAAACACACACGGGGGTGGATCCTGACTCAGACAGCTCCGACACACTGGAATCAGGCGTCGACAATAAGAAAAACAGATTTAAATTATGGGCTGATGATTTTTTATTTGCCCCAACAGTGACAAAGCAAAACACAGAAGTGATTTTCCCTTGTTCGTGGAGATCAGCTCTGTGATTTTACAATAAAACCTCATGCGATGCAGTGGCGCGCTGTCTGCATGTGTAAACCATGTGTGCACAATCCTGTGTAGAAACTAATTGAACCATAAATGTTTTACTATTGTTCTCCTCAATTCTGAAAATCAAAGCTTCCCCCTCTGCTCCACAACATTCCCAAAGCTTTTCCTCTGGTGCATATAATATTCATTTCATGGAAGTGTAACGTCCCTGGAAAAGGATCAGGGTATGGAGTGATGTCATTTAATAGAGATGAGATGAGGGCTGGACGGATGCACGAGCACCTGGGACCGCACAGCTGGAACTACTGAGTAACAGCTGCATTTGTGTGTGTGTGTGTTTGAATGAGTGGTGATGATATGTGGGAAAGCTTAAACCACAGTAGAAGAGTGATGAGAAAAAGGCATGTTATCTAACACAGTGTTGGCCTGCATTCATTCCTACACAAGGATCACCTTCACTTTCCAGCAGCAAACACAGACAACAAACATGTTTGTCATCCATACTTGTGAGGACCATCTCTACTGCCTTTACTGGTGCGAGTGGGGATGTCACAAACAATTGGTCGAATTATTTTGGATTTTAGTTGTCAACTATTAAATAATTACTAACTATTTAAGATAATTGGTGTTTTAAGAAAGAAATTCTCTGATTTCAGCTTCTCAAATGTGAATATTTTCTGCATCCTTTTGGCCTCTATGACAATAAACTGAATATCTTTGAGTTGTGGACAAAATGAGACATGTGAGGACGTCACCTTGGCATCTGGGAAACAGGGATTTTATGGCATTTTATAGACCAAACAACTAATTGGTTAACCAAGAAACTGAATAAAAGATCAATTGATAAAATTGATGTTAAAAAGTGTGTCATTACAAATTAAATTATCACGTTTATGCATCATAGAGTATATTTCATTTTAATTGTCGGGTGTTCAAATTTGAAAAATATGTGGTGGCACCAGAATGAGATCTACGCTGAATCATACAAGCGTTTAAACAAAACCAATCACAGGGAGTTCAGTGTTGCCAACCTTGGCAAACTTGATGTGTCTGGGAAAGTTGAAAGTGGAATTTGGGGCAGTGGAATAAATTCACTTTTGAATTATAGTTCAACTTTGGATGAATTCAGAAAGTGTTATTTTATTGTCAACTGCAAAGTCTACGTCAACTAACATTTCAATTACCATGGCAACGGCAACTGAAGCTCATGGGTATTGTAGTGATGGATAAAACATAGTTTCTCAGAAAAGTTGAAATACTTAAAATGAATGGCCAAGATTCATCCTGCGTTTCTAAGATCAATAACACTGAGGTTGTTAAAGAAACATTCGAAATGGGAATACACTTCAGAGAACCAGTGGATCTTCCCACTTTACTACTCTCAATGCATAACCCCAACTTCACCCTCGAACAGCCCTGTGAAGAAGTAAAAAAACAGAAAAAATGCCCTCAAATCGGTTCTGCTTGGTCCTCACAGTGATAGATTGATTGATGTACAAAAGCACGCACACACACACACACATTTTGTTCATGTGTACACACTTATACACGCACCTGATCTGGGGAAAATGTGTGAGCAGTTCCCACAGACTCTGTCCACACGAGAAGGAACCCTGGAGCCGAGAGCCGTCCTCCATCTGTAGTGCAATCCGCACCTGAGGAACATGAAACCACAGTAACACACAGCTGTAGTTTAAACAAATACCACAATGCCACACTTTACACACTAACCAGAGTGAGGAATCAATAATGAGTCTAAATGATGAACAACAGTCCACCCACGCCTCTGGAGTACACACAGTATGCATGGGCTATAAGTGGTTGTGAGAGGAATTTAAAGGGTGTTACATTTTTTTTAAGAGTTACCAACAAAGATGTGACAGATGTGACAAAAGACCCTGACTGGATTTGATCCAACATTACAATCAATATCAATATTTGCCCCCTGGATTAAAGTATAATTTCTGTTTTTTTCTTAGATTTTCAATGAGACCTTATTCGATTTAAACTATTTAAAATACGTAAATCACAAGCACTAGCTTTTTCCATAAAGTTATTTATGAATATTAATTTAAACTAGGTGGCTGTATCTTTACCTCAAACCTCTTAAATGCATGAGGGAAACTCACTGTACTAAGTACCAAAATCTCCCTAGGTGGCCATTTGTAAGCTCTTGGCTCTACAGTCTTGAGCCATTTTGCAGGAAGAAAATTCTTTGATAATCGAACTTGATTAAGCTGCACATGTGGGCCCACCTCAATCTGGAAATGAGTAACACCCGGCATCAATGCAATTCTCTGTTGTTCTTTCACTCTCTGAGTCATTCTACGAATTGTTTATGTTTACTCAACAACCGTGTTGTCCAGCACAGAAAGCTCGCTGCACGTCCGGGGAGAGATGAAAAGAGCGCCTTGGCTGTCAACGACCAAGCACCAAACACTCTCGCACACTCGGTCTGGCTGAGGTAAATGTTGGGAGAGCCTGAGCATGTCTGTGTGTGTGTGTGTGGTACAAGAGTGAGTGTGTGTGAGTGTATAAAATCTGTGAGGTATCAACAGTCAACCATCCATCAAATGAACAAGAACAACAGATCAAACCCAGCCGTGATTTTACTGCTTAGATTATGATGCCATGATGTCATAGGAAACTACAGCTCAGCTACAACAAAGTGTGTTTTTGGATACAGATCAGATCAGAGTGAACGCAGGAACACAGGCGGAGTATTTACACATTTCCAGGTACCGACAATAAAACCTCACACAGCTGACAGAAAAAAAGCCTAAATAATAATGATACTATAATATAAGGCAACATATCATCTGGGAGTTTTCCCCCCCAAACATAATTATGGGTGGGACAAATCTTGATATGGTTTTATGTGATATAATACTGATACTCTGGCACCAGAACCATTGCACTTTGTGTTGCATCATTGAAGCCGAGGTATTTCCTTTCTTTCCTGCAGATATTTCCTCTTTGAACTCTGTTGCCAGTATAGTCTGTCTGACACAATCATGGCACACGTGTCGATGTCTGACACAGATTCTCTGCACTTTGTTATACAGGGCGTCATCTCACCTGTGCGTACTTAACTTTGTGGAAGTGAAAGCTCTTAATAATCCAGTGAAGCACATCTTAGATTACCTTCTTACAGTCGAGCGTGTTTTCACCTGTTTTGTGATACTCCAGCCTTAACTATCATACTGCGATATACAGATGAGTGATGAGTTAAAGGAAAAACCAGAGGCGTCACTGACTGGTTGGATTGATGTGCCATGGCTTTGCCGGCCACCAGATCTCAACCCAACTGAGCGTCTGAGATTTTGGCTGACGTGTTAGACAGCACTCTCCATCATCATCATCATCATCATCATCATCATCATGACAGTTCAGAGACTGTAAGAATCTATGAGGAGTATTGGCTCTTTTGGCTGTGCCGAGTCAAACCGTGCCACGCTGATTCACGTTTCCATTACCAGTTGGAACGTGTCGAGTTGTTGTTGTTCTGGTGGCTCAGAACGCCTGAGACACTCTGTAGGTCCACAGTTCACTCTACATCACAGTTAACTAACACAATAGTTCAAACTTATTTGACTGTGGACTGAGTGCAATTAACATTCATAATTAATATTAATATTGTTATCTCTTCCAAGAGTCCACAGCAGCCACCAATCATAGCACCAAAACAAACAAACCCCATCAACATATGAATAACAAAAGACTGAGTACAGAGAATTTTGTGATATTTGATTATCACAAAGATAATAAAGGTAATATTACTGGATGTCAGAGGAGTCAAAGCTAATGTATCCATGTGGGTTTGTATTGACAGGGAATTCTCAACCAGTAATTTTTTTTAGACTTTTAAAGCCATACTCTTACTATAATGTTGTCAGGCTCTACAATTTAACACTGCTATTTTTACTCTGTGTCTCTCACACACACACTTTGCTTTAACTAACCTGGCTGTCAGCTACAGCCTGTTTCCTTGTACTCGTCACCATTTCCAGTTTAGCGTTGTTGGGCAGATTGGCAAACCTCCATGGCCGCGTAAGGTCAACAGTGGTCCTCTGAAACCTGTCAAGAGTTTATGACGGAAGAAAAGACGAGTGAGCAGGAGGGGACAGTCAAATCTATATATATACCGTAAAACTTCAGTTAATAGCCTGAGCTTTTATTTGCCTCAATCACTGAACTCAACCTGCCTTTACTTCGGACATCTTTATGGGACAGGCCTTTAATTCCTTTTGCACAAAACTCTTGTTCAGCAAAAATGGGAAATACTATCAAATCCATTATTTAAACCAGTACGAGTATTACTTATGCATCTATTGAATAACATATTAATTACGAATGACTAATTCGATACTTTGGTGCTCGTGGTTTCCGTAAATGAACGATTGACGACCCAAGCAGCTTCCAACTGGCTCAAGAGGGCGACCAAGTCAACGGCTTTAAGAAGTTTTATACATCCAAACGATTTCTATAAAGTCCAGACCAGGCCTTGCATTTATTTATCAAAAACATGTAGTCACAACAGGCTAGTAAAGGGGAGCTATTACAAGATAAAGAGCAGCATTAAGTTGGATTAAGTCTCTCTCCTGTAGAGCTGCTGAGTTCTCCGGGTATTATAAAATGATCCCAGAGGGTAAATTCAATCATTGCAATCGTCACATTGAACTGAGAATTAAACCAAAATGACATTTGATTTTCGTACCAATGGTTAAAAATCAGTGCTTGAATTAAAGCCTAAGATATGACAACTAAAAGAGACAGAGCCCTCCTGTAGATTCACACATGATACT